GCCTAGTAGCACCTGCATAGGGTGTTACTAGAGAGGAGTCTTGCATTTAAGAAACTAGAATCTATTATGATGGACAGAAAAGCAAAAGGGACACATCTTTTTTTTTTTTTTCTAAGGCTGTTAGTCTACAAGTATCTTTGAAAAATTGGTCCAGCACGAAGATATTCTGTACCTCTGCTCACTAGGTGGACACGCTTTCTAGGTCTTTTCTGTGTAAGCAGCTGCTCTATTTCCTAAACCTTGCTTTGTCTCATGGGTCCTGGGTCTCTCCTTTCATAAGCTTCAGTTCTCCAAGTAACTCACTACACTGTTCCTCCCCTTGCATTTTGCTAACTCATAAAAATCTCCCAGCTTTCAATGTCTATGTGCAGGTGGGACTCTAAAATCCAAAGAAGGAAAACCTAGCTGAGGCTTCTGAGATACAGTCAGGGCAAATGCAAAAGCACAACAAAGGAGCTGAAGTAGAAAACCAAACGATTGTCTATTCCAACAGCTGATGACCCTCCATTTGAGTTCCTGGACATTTTAATGGGAGGAGACTACTCATCTTTCTCCTTCACAGAACCTGGTGCATTAGAACTGTTGACCTTTCAGTTAGAAGTCAAACACATAATGTTGTTAGGTGGCGTCAAATCAAGTACAACTCATAGTCACCCTGTGAACAAAAGATCTGAACCCTATTTTGTCTTGTGCCATCCTCACACTTCCTGACACACTAGAGCCCACTGCGGCAGTCACCATTTTAATCCCTCTGGTTGAGGGTCTTCCTCTCCTTTGCTGACTCTCCACTCTTCCCAGCATCATGTCCCTCTCCAAGGAACAGCCCCTTCTAGCAACATGCCGAAGTATGTGAGGTGAAGCACTATCATTTTTGCCTCCAAAGAGCACTCTGGCTGCACCCTCTCCAAGATATACCTGTTCATGCTCTTGGCCGTCCATGGGATGCCCAATGCTCTTCTCCAACACCGTAGCACAAAGGCATCAATTCTTTCAAGAATCAAGATGTATTAATGATAGTTGGTGACTGGAATGCAAAAGTGAGAAATGGTGAAGAAGCAATAGTAGTTGGAAAGTATGGGTTTAGTGATAGAAATGAGGCTTGGAAATGGAATGACTGAATTTTGTATTTACAATAATATAGTCATTGTAAGTACCTTTTAAAAAAGAACGAAATGGCGACTTTACACGTGGATCTCACCTGATGGGCTTCATAGGAATCAGATTGACTACATTTGTGGAAGAAGTCATTGGAGAAGCTCAATATCGGCAGTCAAAACTCGGCCAGGGGCAGAATGTGGGTCACATCTTCAGTTACTCAAATATGCAAGTTCAAATTGAGTCCAAAGAAAATTAAAATAAGTCCACAGGAACCAGGATATGATCTTGAGTCAATTACATCTTGGTTTTAGGATATCTTAGGAATAGGTTTGAGGCATTGAACACCAGTGATTGAAGACCAGATGAATTGTGTTTTGATATCAAGGATATCATCCATGAAGAAAGCAAAAGGTCATTAGAAAAATAGAAGAGAAATAAAAAAAATGAAATGGATATCAAAAGAGACTCTAAAAATTGCACTGGAGCATTGAGAAGCCAAAACAAAAGGAAAACATGCCAAAATAAAAGAGTGGTATGGAAGATTTCAAAGGGCAGCTCAGAAGGACAAAACAAAGTATTATATATAATGGAATGTACAGAGAGCTGGGATTGGAGAATAAAAAGGCGAGAATTCACTGTGCATTTCTCAAGCAGAGAGAACTGAAAAACAAAGTCAAGCCTCATGTCGCAATATTCAAAGGGGGTGTGGACAATATAAGGAATGACTCGGAAAGCATCAAAAGAAGGTGGAGGGAATACACAGAATCACTGTACCCAGAAAGAACTGATTGACATTGAAAAATTTCAGGAAGTACCGTATGAACAGGAGCCAAAGGTAATAAAGGAGGAAGTTGAAGCAAACACATAATATACCATGCCAAATCAGGTCTAAATGGGAAGGCACTAAGGATGTACTAGAGGACAGATTGTGGTTGTATGCTTTGAGTCAGAACCGACTCCCAGCTGGCCCTTTAGCAAGTTTCCAAAGACTGTAAATCGTGTGGGAGGAAACTGTCCATCTTTCTCTCACAGAGCAGCTGGGGCCGTTGAATCACCTGCTTTTGTGTTGGCAATACAACTCCTTACCACTAGGTCATCAGAGCTCCCTAGCGAACAGGTTAAATACATGTGTCAAATTCATGTTGAGTAACAACAAAAAAGGTCATAGAAGACTGAACAAAACAATCTCATGTTCAGAACCTGAGCCCTGACCAGCAGGGCCCACTATGAATTCCTCTTTTGGGAAAGGATGGAGGAAACTAGCTAAGATTTAGGCTTTCCATCCTACATAAGCTATTTCAACAATTCTTTCATTAACTGAGGTGTTTTTTAGAAAGTAATATAGAGATCAAGTAGATAATGGCTATCCAATTTCTGATTATTCTTTTAAAGAGCCTTTGAAGTATAGAGTCACGTTATTACTTCATCTTCATCCTGTAGCTGTCCTCCCTCTGGGCAGATGGATGGCCATTATTTTTTCCCTTGACTCTTTATGATTAGAAGAGTTGATCAGAGGTGTGGTAAAAGATCTCATCATCTACAAACACCAGCAACAAATACATTAAATAAATTGCTAGGGGATACAATGACAATTGTTTGACTCACCGAACCCTTAAAACTCTCCATCAGATCGTCACTATCTCTTTCTCTCTTTTCCTTTCCTGATTAGTGAGACACCATTAGAGATTAATTTTCTGCTGAAGAAATCACTTTAAGATTTATAAGTTTCTTGGATCAGAACAAAATGGGTTTTGTGACTCCTAAATAAATGGGTCGATAGGGGAACAATAAATACAGTGGTCACTGAATGTTGCTTTATAAATCGAGTTCCTCTCCACCCATCCCTAGCCTCAATTTTTTTATGACCAACATAAGAAACCTTTTGTGTGTTAACTGTCAGGTCAGCAATGCCCTGGTGACAGTCCACAGGGAGTTTTGCTGCTAACTCAAAGGCCATGCTTCTCTGGTTCGAATCCACCAGGGGCTCCTATAGAAAAAAAGATGAGCAATCTCTTCCTATGTGATTTACAACCTCAGAAACCCAGAGAAGGGTCAGCTATACATTGGTTCTGACTTGATAGCAATGAGTTTAATATTTATTTCTTTTGAACCTACCTACCCAGAGATGCTTGGGAAGTTGTCATGATGATTTGCTTCCAGAAGATTACAAAGTTAAAAACCTGATGGAACGGTTCTTTTCTGTTCACAAGTGTCTTCATAAGGAGAGTTGGGTTTGACAGTAAACTAACAGAAACATAACAACAGTAAATGTGAATTTTAGAACTTTTTCATTGTTTGCTCAGATTAAGGTTGAAAGCTTTAAATATCTAGCACTGTACTTGGATTTGGAAGATCTGTAGATTAAAAAGCCCTGGTCTTGCTCACAGAGGGCTTAAATTTAAGTCAGGAAATTGATTCTGGTCAGTTGTTGTGGGTGTTCTGTTAGAAGAATAATTGAAGGCAAGAGAGAGAAAGAAAAAAAGGAACTAGTCCCAAGAAATGAATTGGTCTCCACATTTAGAGGTCTGAGTTAGAGGGGCCAATGACAGGTATTGAGGAAATTACTGGAGTAGAGCAGAGCAAAGAAGGAAGTATTGAAGGAGTCAAGGGGATTGGGACAGCCAGAAAGATTAGAGAAATCATGTGGTAGAACACGGCACACCCAGAAAGCAAAGTCCTCAGCAATGGGTCTCTATGGTAGACTGAGAAAGCGGGAAGTTAGGGTGTGGGAGATAGATACATCTGAAGGAGTGCATATGCTGAGTTGGGGAGGCAGATTAGGTAAACTAAATTTAGATGGCAGAGGTAAGCTGGCTGGAGGCATGAGGCAGTGATTGATTGGTGAGGAAATCATGCTGATAATGCAGCTATGAGAATAGAATTATTTTATTTGTGATGAGAAGGTAGTGAACAGAGCAGTCCAGGAGAGCTATGGAAGGAAATATGGACAGAACTTGGTATTAGTCCTACTATAATGTAAGAAGAAATAGTCAAACAGTGCTTAGGAATGTTGACAGGTGAGGAAGTTGCTTATGGAAACTGGTTTCCGGGAAAGATGATGAATCTCAATTGAAGAGAGCCTGAGAGCACTAGCATTCAGTACACGTGCTGAAAATGTAACAGAATAAAGCAAGAAGCTTTATGCATTGTGCTTTCAAAGTGCATGTCATATACCCTATCCCTAAGCTTACACTACCACTTTGGAGTTAATTTAAGAAAAATTATTTAAAGTCAATACCTATTGACTGAATTCTGGGTCCAAATTCTGAAGTCCCAGTAGGAGTTTTTTCAGTGGCCACCTCATGTTAGCATTTTTCAACTGGACAAATATTAAGGGAATGCGGGTTTTTGTTGTTCCTTAATTTTCCCTTTGCACATTTTCTATTTTGGCTATTTCTGGATAAATCCAGCTTCCCGTTGAAATTTCATTTTCCTTACTTTCCACAACTATATGATCAGGTGTAAGAACTTTAAGTGTTTAAGAGCACATGTTGGTTTTTTTAGAAGCCGTAGGTTATGTGTTTATCTTGAGGCCCTTCGAGCTTTTTCTATAAGGAGGAAAAATGGAACCTTTAAGAATCTAACCAGCTATTTTGAACAACTAGATTCTGTTTTGCTAATTAGAGAATTGATATGGTGCTATGTTGGACAAGAGCAGATCTCTACAAACTTGGAAAAGTGCAGTAAGACACACAGACATCTAAATGTTTCTCTAGTTTTGGGATATAGTTATTGGGACTACAGACGTGGGCAGATGTGCCTGGAAGGCTAAGGAGAATCTTCTGTCACTACTGATCATCTGGAAGGATAAATGAGGTACTATCTTAGAATAGGGGTGCCATGTAGTTGGTTTTCTGGAGCCTTTTTCCTATTAATCCTGCCCTCTGAACTTCCACTTTCAGCTCCAGTCAAAGTCGATCATCTATGGTCCAGTGGCTTAACCCCCAGTCTTTAACCACACCGAGCTCCAATCCAATTGCTACTACACCTTCTTCACCAAAGTTGTCACCTTTCCCTCTTTCTCTTCCGGCCACCATAGTGGACAAGCCACCTGAAAGGTATGTGGTTTCAAGTATAATGTGGAATATGGTGCCACATCAAAGAAAGGTCTCATGGAATATGTTGTTGTTATATGCTGTCAAGTTGGGACCGACTCATAGCTGACCCTCCATCAGGCTTCCAGAGGCTCTAAGTTGCATGGGAAGAGATTTCTCATCTTTTTCTCACAAAGCAGATGGTAGATTCAAGCTACTTGTCTGGATTGACAGCACAACTCCTTACCACTAAACCACATGAGCAGTTATTTATATTCTCTGGTAGAATAGATTTACTCGGGTTCTTCTAGCTTCTTGGATTTTCTCAATAAACCATTTATAACTTTTATCAGGGCCGTGCCTCAGTACAATAGCAAATCTACTCTCAGGAGAAATCTGCCTTATACGAGAACTGTGTGAACTTACTTTACCTTCTTGGGGCTGGTTGTACATTTATAAAGCTCTACTACTCATTTCTGAAGAACTTCTCTAGAAGTTCTTTACAGAGCATTTGAAAGGAAACTGAACACTGGGTACACTACTGAATATGGCTTCTGTTGGGCTGATTCTGGAGAAGGCCCTGGCTCTGCCCTTGTTAACAAACCCTTCCATCTGAGTAGAAAGCTCGGATTCTTAGCATCAGTGTCTTCTACTCCAATGAAGTGGGACATTTTATATATAGGTTTGAAACTTGTTACAAGCAGACATGATCACCATCCGTCTCCACGGTGTTCTCTCCTCCCAAGATCCTATGGGACATTCTGAAAAGCAGTGGGAAGCAGAGCCTCGTGTCTATCTCTGTGAGATGGGGGTGAGGGGACTGAACTAAGGAAAACCCAAATAAGAACAAGCATTCTCTTCTGGTGTGCTGTGTGAAGCAGATTGCCATCTTAGATGGGTATGGGTCCGTGGTTTGTGTGCACGCACATACATACATACACCCCTTCCCAGCATCAGTTCCTTCTGTCTCAAGATACTTGTGCCTTTTCTAACAGACAAACACAAGTGCTCAGGAAGTCAGCAGGCCCTGTGGTTGTGATAATGCTGCATGATAGGAAAGGGCATCCCACTGGGCAGAGTGGAGAATTAGGTGAGGAGGTTCCAGTGAAATCTGCTCAGAGAGGCTTCCTAAACAAAGGTTTGCATTTAAAACCTGTCATTTACTTGAAAATCAAGTGCTGAAGCTTTGCCTGATGTTCATTTTCTTGCTAATTTCCTTTCTGGAAGGAGCTGCACCTCTGGTGACGTAGAAATGAGATTTGGGACTGGGGAGGCGGGAACGATGAGATTTCTCTGTGCTGCTCACGTTTTAATTGCTGTCTCTCCTGCTTCCTTTTCAGCGTGACCAATCGGAAGGCTCGAGCGGTGTATCCATGTGAGGCGGAGCACAGCTCGGAATTATCTTTTGAAATAGGAGCAATCTTTGAGGATGGTAAGTGTTAGCGGGAGGTTGATACTAGGATATGTTCTATCATCCCAAACACCTACAGCCCTACATAAGCAGTCACTGGTTGTTCTGTTGTCCACGGCTGTAGTGCATCCAAATCACATGACCAGGAAGAGCTGACCCATTTGGCGCCAAGAAAGCATACATCAGCTACCTGTTCCTACCTTTATTTTTGTTATTCTCCAACCCCTGAGATGATCATCAGTCATCACTTAAGACCTCTTTCTTCCATAATGTAGAGAAGCTTCATGCCACTTGAAGTTAAGGAATATTTTATTTGCTACCTTTTGGTTTTTTTGTCCTCTCCCAGAATTCTTACTTCAGCCTTCTAAGTGCTTCATGTTTATCAAAGTCATCAGAAGAGAGCGCTTACTACCCTTGGAAAATTTTGACTTATAATGTGCTTTACATGAGTTTTTACTGATGTAAACAGTTTGTGATCTTCAGATATAGGTATTTACTTTGCATACATAAAAAGTCTACATAGACTTTTATTTAAGAGTTTAATATTCACAACTAAACACTTATGAGATATGCCTGAATTTTTATTGATGAATTTTCTTCTATGGTATATAGTGTTTGTCCCCTCTTGATTTCTTCCCTCCCTTGTCTCTCAGTCTTTTTAAAATTCACTGGTTGCTGTGGAAACTGTGATGTTGTGTGGGTGGAGCTCCCCAAAAAAGTTCTGGGGAGTCAGTGAGAACCTTAGATACTTGGAATGAAATGGCTGATGAGTCAGTACTTTTGGGAATATGTGGAATATGGCAACGCAATGCATAGTCGTGTGTTGTCTGGAAATGTAGCATTTGCTGACGATGTTATTTTTTTAGAAAGCAAGCTGCCCCATTTTGAATAGACATTTATGTATTTGTAGTATGTGTCAGAAAACAAACAACAACAACAATGAAAAATTCCCACATACAACAGAAGTAAACTTTGTGGAGAAATTTTGTTCTTGTAGAAGCAGCATCATTCCTCTACCACAATAACAACATGCAGACATACAATTTTGCCAGGAGCGTGTGGTAAATAGTTTCCCCAATCCAAGCCTGTTACATATTGGCACAACATGTGGCAGGAGGGAAAGCCGAGATGTTAGTCTGAAACCCACCCATTTTAAAATGATAGATTTTTGCTATTCATGTGATACGTTGCATGATTGGGTTGTGTTTATTAGGATCTCTTTGGGTGCAAGTAGTCAACACTCTGCCACAGTAAGCAAAATTAATCATGCCAATGGATTACCTCACAAAATAATGTGTGAAAGGTAGGGAGACCTGGTGGCACAATGGTTATTAAGCCAAGCACAGTGATTGGCTACTAACCAAATGATTGGTGGTTCAAACCAACTCTGCAGAGGTTGACCTGACTACCTGTTTGCATAAAGATGGTTGCTGCTATGTGGTTAGGTGCCATGCAGTCAAACACGATTCATAGTGACCCTAGAAACAGCAGGTCAAAACCTTGCACCATTCTCACCATTTCTGATACATTCGAACCCAAACTTACTGTCACTGTCAGTCTGTCTTGTTGGGTCTCTCTCTTTTGCTGACCCTCAACCATCCCTCACATGATGTCTTTTTCCAAGAACTGACTCCCTCCTGACAACATGCCCAAAGTATATGAAGTGAAGTTTCATCATCTTAGCCCCGAAGGAGCACCTTGGATGCATTTTCTCCAAGATGTATTTGTTCTTCTTCTGACAACCCATAGAATATTCAAGACCATAAAGATTACAGCCAAAAAAAAAAAAAATTCTCATGGGCAGTTCTTTTCTGTCACAGGGGCAACTATAAGTCAGATCAACTCAGTAGCGCTCAACACAAACAACACAAAGGTCAGGAGCTTCAAATTGGTTAAATAAGAGTCTTAGAAGCTTGAGAAACACCAGCATATTTATCTGTATACTGAATGATATACTGTCTACTGAAGTGTGTCAGAGTCAGACCTGTTGTTCATAGGGTCGTATGTGTCCTACTTGACAGCACCTAACAACAAAAACTGACTGATTATCAGCTTGTATGTATGCTTTTGGCTGGTTTGTCTGGTCAGGGCAAGGTGGCTTTCACAGGTCCAGGCAGCATGGCCACATTCAGCTTCAGCAGAAAAAGGTACCTTATATTTCTATGTTTATTGGGTTTGGTGGTTTTTTTTAAAAAAAAAAGAATAGGGAAACTTTTATAGAAACTTCCTAGTTTCTATCCCATAATACCTCAGTAGCCAGCATAGCCTCACTTTGACTAGAACCACACTGGGCATGGGAACACCTCCTCTGGGCTCACAGCCATATAAGTGAGGCTGAGCACGTAAACCAAATGTGGCCACGCTAGCAAGGATAAAAGGGGAGCGGAGATTAAATGTCTGACACAGAATGCCCGTGTTCTCTAACTCATGATGCCCTAAATGACTTGTATACCAGTTGTCAAGTGGATTCTGACTCATAGCAACTCCTTGTGTGCAAAGTCAAACTTCCTCACAGGGTTCTTCATGGCTGTGGTCTGTCAGAAACCCATTGGCAGGCTTTTCTGCTCTCGTGCCTCTAGGCAGATTTGAACTATCAACCTTTGAATTAATTGTCAAGTGCTTAAGCGTCAACTTGTAGGAATTGAAGCAAAACACACAAGCAACATATGTAGATAGATATATCTATATATATAAAGAAAGAGTGGTTATTGTTCTTGTTGTGTCCTGTCAGAACTGACCTATAGCTTACCCTTCAGTAGGTTTTCAGAGGCATTTAATCACATAGGAGGAGATTGCTCCTGTGAGGCAACTGGTGGACTGGTGGGTTTGAACTCTCTTTGTGTGTGTGTGTGTGTGTGTGTGTGTGTGTGTGGGTGTGGGTGTGGGTGTATATGTATATGTATATATATATATGTGTGTGTATGATATAGATAGTGAGAATATATATATAGAGAGAGAGAATATAATATATATGCACACTCTGTATAGAGAGAATGTGTATGTGTATATATATATACACGCACTCTGTGTGTGTGTGTGTGTGTATGTATGTGTGTACACATGGAGCTCTGGTGAAAACCTTCTAGAAGGTCACCTGTGAGTCACTGCCAATTCAACAGCACATAACAACAACATATGCATTTATCAAGTCATTTCCTTATACTTACATATGTCCACACCAATATCTCAAGTTTGTTTTTGGACAGAGAGGGTGTCTGATATGGTAGCTATGAATTAAAAATGCTACATTTATTGTAGGAGTTGTATGTCTTTCCCAGTTCTTGTGTGCCTCTTAGCACGTTCTTTCAGTACTCAGTCCAGTGTTGTCTTCATCCAAATGTTCTGAAATGTCCAGAGAAGATTGATACTGTGTCAATGGAAGTTAGCATTAGCATCTGAGCGCTTAGTGAGCGTTACTGACAGGGAGGCAACACTTGGCGTGTGGGGTTGTGCCATGGCTGTGACTGCGATTTGAGCCAAGTCATGTCTCCACTGTTTGGTACCTTGTAATGCCGATTTGCAGTTTTGTCTAGGCTATTGGTTACTGGGGCATGGGGTGTCTCAGGAGTTCCTCAGTCTTTCCAGCAATGCTATCTGTTCCACACATGTGCAGCCAGATCTGTGAGAACCTCATTGCACAGGAGCTACTCGCCTCACAGATGCCACCCTCACCCCCAGGTTTCCTCGGAGTGGTGCAGGTGAGCAGAGGGCACTAAGTTCCTCCACCATTAGCCTGGCTGCTCCTGGGCTCTTCAAGAATCCAGTATTCTAAAGTCTCTTAAACCAGAACTTGTTGCTATGAAATTGTCTTCAACTCATGGCAATCTCATGTGTATCAGAGCGCAATGCTGCTCCATCAGCCTTTATCATCAAACCTTTCTTTTGAGTGCCGCTGGATGGGCTCAAACCTCTCATCTTTTGTTTAGCATGTTAACCATTTGCTCCACCAGTGAACACCTCCTTTTCTCTGTGTGTGCGTGCACATCCACGTCTTCTGTGGGTGGTTGATACCTTAACAGATAATTTACAAAATTTGGAAGCCCACGTGCTTGCTTAGCACACACCCATCAGAGCCTTGTTCCATTTCTGGTGACTTGCACTGAGCAGGACAGTGCAGTGGTTCATCTGGCCTCATTTCTGTGCAGACAGACAGTGTTGCAATGGCCACTGCTTCTAACTCAGCCCACAGGACTGTCACCAGGAACACATCCTCTCTAAGACGAGTCCCTGAAATGCCTATGAGACCTTTCTTGTGTCTACTTACCCAGTTGGGATCTTCCTACATGAGGAGAAATGCTATTGCAGGTCAATCCTTTCTTGCACATCTTCCCGGCAACAAAGGAAACCAGCTTATGGCACCCAGTGGCCTTTGGAGAAAGCAAAATTCAGGTCAACGTGACCCTTGGGCCACATTGTCAGTGGTTGCATGATTTGGAATATATACAGCAGTGAGAAACCCTAACCTTCCAAGTGTGGAAGGATCAAGATCGTTAGTAATTATGTGGCTCTGTAACTGTGCCTTCCTCTTTGCTTACTGTGTAGGTCTGGATTTGATTTATGGCTTCAAATTCTACCACAAAGATTTGTCTCTATAGTACACACACTAACATCCAGCCCTGTTCTGGAGAAAAACTTTTCATTTCCCCTTCTCTGGGGGCAAGGAGAGGCTGTATTTGGGAAATCTCAGGACTGCTTGTGCTCTTGTGGCTGCCAAAGACATCTGTGCCCATTGTACAGGTCTAGACACATACAAACTGATTGCCATTAAGTGAGAACTGACTCACACTTGACTCCCCATTGGGTTTCTGAGGCAGTAAATTTCCAAGGAAGGTAAATTGAAGATTGTCTATCTCTCTCACAGAGTCACTGTTGGATTCTGACTGCAGGAGCGGCATGGCCTTCGGGTTAGCAGTGCACCTCCCTATAGGCTACTCCACCAGGGCCCCCTTTCTATAGGTCTGGACCCAGAAATACCCTCCGCTGTTCCCAGCCTGTACTGCTCTGTGCAGAGAGTAGTCTCC